TTGACGTGAACCTAAGTACACTGGCCTCAAGCAGTTTCGCTACCATTGAACCTGGATCACCGCTATCAACGTACAGCATGAATTCCTCGCTGTGCATTTTAATTTTGTTGGCGCGAGTTTGCCCAATACAGAGTTTCAGCTTTTCCAGCCTGACGGCCGCCTGCTTGACTGTGATGACCTCGGGAAAGTACGTTCTGGCCTCTCTCCTAACTCTTTCCCTCCTTTTCTTCCTGACATCACTCTACCTTGCTCTCACATATCCCCGCTTTCCGCTCTCTGGCTACACTATAATATACGTAGCTGTGCTGCACATTGATATGTGTATGGTTATACCTGCGTCACGCCAATACACAGTATGAGGTGACAGCATACGATGACAGTATACTTTCTTATATTGATGCGCCTCTTAATATTTATGCGCTGTCAAAAACACGTCAAAATATAGTGGCATAACTCTAAAGCCTCCAGTACTACATTCGAAGTAATAAAATTACCGAATGCGTTGTTTTGTGCTATCTTTAGTAATTAGTGGTAATTAGTTTGTAACTAAGTAGTTTATTAACTTACCACCAAACAGCTTGAGTATTTGCATTGAAAAAACAATCTACTATTGGACCCACAATGCATGAACACTTTGTTTTCTAGTTGTACTTGTCTCGGGCGAAAAAAAAATACTTTTCACATCGGTCCCGGAACGCGTTATGTCGAACAATTGTCGACAATCGTCAGCAATCGTCGGCTTTGCTTATGTCTTTCTATTTTACTATTCTGACAAGTAAGAATGCTTGTTAATGTTTGCTGCTGCTGTTATTGTTCTGGGAGGTGGGACTAGTCAAGCTGCCTACATGCAGCTTTTATTCCACCATCCTTGTTGTTTAAACATATTTTGATATATGTGGCAATAAAGTTCACTTCACTTCACAGTGGTAGTGTGTCCAGCAAAGTTATCCTCTGCAGAAACACGCAGCGTAATCAAGTTATATGATCACTACTTGTCTACTGAGGAGGCCTGCTCGAATTTGCATTCTAGTTTTAAGCCATTTGACGAAACTCTCGATGCGTGACGTGACATTGGAGGTGGCGTCTCCATTTGTACACACCGTGACTGAAAGGGATGCTGCGTGCGAAGGGCGGTGCTCCCGTAGTGGCGTGAACATATAAAAAAGGTTACAGTTTCACCACAAGGGTGAAGTAAGGAGTCCGATAGCTAAAGTGCAATGTAACAAGAAATAATAATAATCATCATTAGCCTGACTACGCTAATTGCAGCAAAAATACGTCTCTTATGTTCAATCAATCAACTCGGACCTGTGCTAGCTGCTACCGCTTTCTGCCCGCAAACTTCTTAATCCGCTTGCCTTCCCTTGGAAACAAGTCTATGATCTCTAAGGACCAGCGCTTATTTTATTTTCACGCTGTGTGCCTATCCCATGACCATTTCTTCTTCTTCGTTTTGACCATGATGTCCTTAACACCCGTTTATTTACTGATATGCTCCGCACTCGTCTTGTCCCTTAGGTTACACCTGTCATTTTCCTCTTTATTGCTTGTTGCGTCATCCTCAACTGAAGTTGAACCCCCTTTGTAATTCTCCAGGTTTACGCTTCGTAGGTAAGTACAAGTAAAATGCACCTGTTTTATACCTTCATCTTGAGGGATAGTGGCAATTTACCATTCATGGTTTGAGAGTGCTTGCCGAATGTTCTCCAACCTATTATTCTTCTAGTTACTTCAATCTTGTGGTTAGTCTCCGCATTAACTACCTTTTTTTAAGTAGACGTACATCTCTACGACTTCGAAATTGAAAATTCGAAGTTACAACTTTGAATTGGCTTGCAGCCAACCAATTGGGCTGCAGCCAATTCCTTAAGAATCTGATCTGGCGTAATCCTTAAAAACGCAAGCGTAAGAGAAGGCGGCCGCTCCAGCTACCTACGAGATTCTGGCGCTATTTTTGTTTTTTCTGCTTCAACGTGAAGTAAGCTGTGAAAACAGAGTGCGTAGAGAGGCCTAAGCCGCTTGCTCCACTCAGCCGAGATATTAACACACCTATTCGATCAAGGTTCACAATAGACCCTTTTTTAATTCGCAAGTGTGCTTCTACGCGCTGCATGTTTTCCCAAGTAATCAGGGGACCTGTCATTGTACAAGCGGAGACGTGGTACTAGTTGAACGTGCTTGGCTTTGCCGACTGTGCGTGTTTGTGTAGAAAGAGCCGACTCTACACTTTCCACATCACCGCAAAGCAATTCGCGTTTGATCAGGTTGTTCGCAGTAAGTGACTAGACGCCATAATCGTTCATACTGCACAACAGCAAAGCTAGTTTTGCAATTGTGAAAACTCTCTATTTCTGGAGTGATGCAGGCTTTCTACCGGCACGTTTCATGCTCCTTCACCTTACGGAGCCGGTCGGCGTGCTGCCATTGCTGCATTAACTGCTGTATTGCTGTATGATTTGTCTTTTGGTATGGGCTAGTACAACGGCATCAAACGTAGATAAAATATACAAGCTACAAACTATAGCTATTAGGTATTTAACGAATGTCGACTACTATGCACACACTGATGAACTATATACGTGCTCTAATATTGTACCAATTGACAAACTGTACGAGTTTTCGGTAGCAATAACATACTACTCCTTACTGAAACATATACTACTCCTTACTCTATTCTTCACCTTCAACGATGGGACATTCCATTGTGTACAACTGATTTTGGGCGGCCGATGCTTGCCGCATTGATCCTTCAATGTTTCGCTGTTACTGAATAAACTACTTCCAAAAAATAACCACTAAAATGCAGTGCACGTGTCATCAGGGAAATACTTTTATAGTGACAATCAAGATAATCATTTTTGTGTTTTTTATTATTTTTGTGCAGAAAATTGTTGTTTATGTGTATCAAATGTTTCTGTTTTTTTATATTCTTTATAGTTCTACGAAACATATAGCTAAAGACTGCTCATGTATATTAGGCGTTTGTGCGTAGCATTGTTTACAAACAAATTTCCACTCCTACTGCGCTCCGTTTTTCCATGTTCTTTGTTTTTTTCACCCATGATCGACGTCGTCGTTTCTTCCATGTATCGGGGAGGCTTGGGTCGTCATCAAATGGCAAACGCCACTTTTATTTATATATTTATTTATTTATTTCATTTTCCACATACTGGTAACCATTTGGAGTGGTTTTACAGGAGTGGGAGCAAAAAGAAGAAGCACAAAAAAAAAAACTGCCACATCAAAAGTAACAACTCCGATCGGTCGGAACAGCGTTGCTAAACAAGTACAAGTTAAGAAAAAGAAAACTACAGGTATGAATAAAGTAACAGCGGACGCATTATTAATCTTACCTAATCCTAAAAGTGGGTTGAGAAAAAGGTAACACATTTGTAACAGTTGGTGTAAATAAAATATTGGCACTTAAACCTTATACAAGGGGGCAATCTGCCGTCATCCTTGCGATGAAATAAATTTGAATTTTATTGAATTGAAAACCTGAGTGTCTTGAACCTATCTTAAGAGTCCTCGCGCTACAGAAAAAGCAAACTGGAAGACAGTGAGCAGATAACCAGTCGTAGTTTTTAAGCATTTTACACACATTTCTTGAAACACCCTGTATATAATGCGCATCAATGCAATAACTCATATCATGCCCAGGATTACAATCATGAAAGCATTTACCAATGCGCCAGCATTTGAAACAGGAAATGGTATTTCATACGCAACAAATGAAGTAGAAGCCACTAAAAACCTCTTGCTACCAAGTAGTGGTTGGCGAAGCATTGAACGTCAAAGCGAAAAATTGGAAGGTCACGCACAGAATGGCGAGCAGATCGAAACGTGCCCCACATTTCGCCCGCACAAATGACGCACAAAACGTACTTTTACGTGCAGAATAACGCGAATAAGCGTCTCAGTTGTTACTTCGCTGTGTCAGAAAAGCGCGCTCTTTTCGCGAACGCAGACTGTGCAACAATTGCAGTGACTTTCGTGCGCCCAGCAACTAAAACAGATACGTTCCGGTAAAAGCCGAACACCAGCCAAGACGTACGTTTCTTGCTATCACGAGCTAAGAGCGCGTGTGTGAGCGTCGACCCCAGGCTCTTCACGGGGGAAAGTGCGCGTGGGAGATGAAAGCGTGGCCGCCACGTCGTGACGATGTTGCTACGCGTGCTGATTACGCCATCTTGCTGGTAATGCTCAAAGCACGATAGTTCCCCTCCAAGATGTCCTTCAGCACCGGTAATGTGGTAGGTTCTGGAGTCCTCCCCTACGGTGTCTCTATCATATCGTGGTTCTGGGTCGTAAAACCCCACATAATGTTATTCATATTATAACCCCAGTTTGGCGGTTAACCAAAGAAATAGCAGCGTTCGTGGAAGATCAATTGGCCACCTTAACCGACTATTCGCTTTTGAGCTGTGTGACATCAGCGAGCCGTGGTAGGTTGTAACTGGTGTTAACGCGCCTGTGTGTGATAAGTAGCTCACTTGCTTCCTCTGCCGCTTTTTGTTGTCTTTTGTAAGCGAGGTCGTTCTGTCAACGTGGTTGTTCAGATTATAGTAATTCCGCTTCGATTCGATATATGCGACGGCGCTTCTTCAAAACAAAGCTCGTTTATCCGACGAGACTAGTGGTACTGGACTATGATTTGTAGCCCTATGGGCCCCACCATGCAGAGCTCTGGTGGTGTGTATTGCGGAATCCAGCCTCTATCTTTATGTGTAACTCTGTATACCTTTGTAAATACGTAACAGACCGATAAGGGCTCATGTAATGCTCAGACAAAAAATGAATGATTGAGTGAGTAGCGGTGGTGCAGTTTAGAACAGCGAGTGGCAATTAAACACTCTCCTGAGTCTATGAATGAGCTCCTTATGCTGAAACTTATACACAAATGTGGTAACCTATGACATGAGCTCAACTTGGTTGCTTCGTTTGCTCGACAGTTTTACCAACGTACGTGCATAGCCAGTGCATGAAGGATGCCGACTTACGGAATGTTGTACGAAGCCCAATAGCCTTGATTCTCCACCACGGAGGTTACGTCAGCCGACACGGAGTATCCTCTGCAGAAAAAAATCAACACATCGAACTTTTATTTGTTCACGTCTGAGTTGCGTTACGTGTCTGAGTGTTAGGGCGATGCATCATTTCAATGCAAAATTACTAATAATGCACCTATAGGACAAGCTATTTTCTATAAAAGCAGGATAAAGCTTTAAGAACTGCTTTGCCAAAAACCAGAGTTGAAACTTAATATCGAAAACAGGTCAAATGACGGCGCCCATAGTAAGCCGGAGCAACTGTGCGCTCCCAGGCACCCCATCAGGAAAGCGGAGGAATGAACACGGAGAAATGAACATGGTGATCACTGAGTAAAAGAAGATGTTATGATACAGAAGTGTGTCTCCTGGTTGGCCATAGAAGAAGTGTTTTATAATGTGTAGCCGTCAGTCAGTTCATCATTTCTGAAAGAAGTGCTGATGGTGCCATGCAAGCAACGAAGAGTTTAGTGTCGCCAAAATAAGACTCTCCTGAACGTCAAAGGAAAACTACTTCATCACCGCCACAGCCAAGGCTTTCCACTGGGGACTTCTTTACTGCAAACAGGTTATTGTACGACCATGCCTGGGGACAAAAATTTCAGGTTGGCTGTATGAATACATTGTATCTGTCGCAACTTATATTATCTATTGTTAAGTATCTACTAGTGGTATTATTTATTATTTAGGGTTAAAATAGCATGTAAATGATAAACATTTTTCGCAACCTTGTATCTGGTGTAGCCTTATGCGTGCTCAGTATATATATATATATTGTAATGAATTAATGAATCTGAGTAACGGACGCTCTGCTGGCAACGAAGAAGACGATGATGATCGGTGGCTGCAGTAGTAGCTCGCGCACGCCGCTCGCCATTAGCCAGACCTGCCTGATAAAGGACATTTTGCCAAGCTACGTCTGAACCCTTCTCGACGTACAACACCTCTATTTTAAGTGGTGGAGGAGCCGGGGTTCCCATCAACCTGGAACTTCGCAATCGGACGCTACCCTCACCGTTCACCATGACTGCTCCTGGCCCTTCTCAAGCTGCCTTACCAACGACAGTCTACTGTACTGGCGCGCCTCGGCAACGCGACCCACCAATTTTTCGCGGCAACGATGAACAAGACGTCGAGGACTGGCTCGTCGAGTACGAAATCGTAAGCGCTTCCAACAAGTGGAACGCCTGCGACCAGCTCACAAACGTGCGCTTTTACCTCGATGATGTGGCCAGCCTCTGGTTCAAGAACCACGAAGGCGAAATTACCAACTGGTCCGCCTTCAAGACCACCATCTCCGCGGTCTTCGGCCGTCCCGCCGTGCGCCGGCTTCGCGCGGAACAGCGTCTCCGTAGTCGAGTCCAGCGCAGGGACGAGACCTTTACGAGTTACATTGAAGATGTCTTGTCCCTTTGCAAGCGCGTCGATGAATCTCTAACCGAACGCGACAAAATCAAGCACATCATCAAAGGAGTTGACGACGACACCTTCCAGATGCTCGTCGCCAGGAACCCACAGACCGTCACCGATGTTGTCCAGCTCTGTCAGGAGTACGACGAGTTGCGTAAGCAGCGTGTCTCGACGCGCAGGGCCGCAGAAGATACGGCTGAAGTTTCCGCCCTCGTACATGACGTCGCTGCTGATCACACCGTCTTACTGCCCCAAATCAAACAATTCATTCGTGAGGAAGTTGCGCGTCAGCTTTCTCTTGTGGCCGAAGCATCCGCGCCAGTGACCTCGTTAGACCCACGTCTACGCCAGGTCATTGAGACACAGGTCACGCAAGCACTGCCTCCATCGCCACCTGTACCTACGCCGCTGACCTACGCTGCCGTCGTTGCTAGACCCCCAGCCCCACCTGTCTCTGGCGCATACCGGGGCACCGGGTCCTCCTACCCTACGACGCTGCCTACATACACGGCACCCCATCCCGTTTCGCCCCCTGCACCTTCTGTCGTTAACCCATGGCGCACCTCGGATAATCGACCCATCTGTTTCGCATGCGGTTTCGTGGGACATATAGCACGCTACTGTCGCCGTCGCAACTTCCAGCCTCCAGACCATGGGAATTCTGCAAATTACCAGGCTGCCCAGAATCCCCCGCGACCATCTTCTTCTATCACCGACTCATTGTCCCCACGACGCCCCGTCGATTCTCGCCGGTCATTACCACCCCGTCGCCGATCTGTCTCCCCGATGCTTCGGCGCACGAGCCCCGCTCGAGAGGAAAACTGACAGCCGCAGTTCCGGAGGCAAGAACTGCGTCGTCGTCGAACTTTCTAAGGCCTCCTCTTTGTCCGACCAACGAAATTGATGTGCTAGTAGAAGGTGTTGCTGTACGTGCACTTGTCGACACAGGCGCCGTCGTTTCTGTAATTAGTGAAAAACTGTGTCGCGATTTGAGAAAAGTTACAACGCCGCTTACGAATCTTGCTCTGCGTACAGCCACCTCCCATTTCATCGCGCCGACAGCTCAGTGCACAGCACGCGTTCTTATTCAAGATGTTTGGTACGCCGTCAGCTTTGTTGTTCTCCCACGTTCATCTTACGACGTCATACTAGGATGGGATTTCCTTTCTACCCATCAGGCCCTCGTCGACTGCGCTCGTGCTGAACTCACGTTGACGAATCCGTGCCTTGATATCGACCACCACAGTCCCTCGAAAGTGTTTGCCGCAGCTGACGTCCGCATCGCGCCGTTGTCCGCCGTCCTAGTGCCTGTGTTTTCCCCTGCTGCCACTAACTCGACGCTCCTGTTCCAACCAACTATAGCTAGGGTGCAACACCGAACCATCGTCCTCCCGTTTGCCGTCATCAACTTTTCCAATGGTTCGGCGGTACTTTATGCGTGCAACGTTTCTGCTTGCCCGTACATCCTGCTACGCGGTGAGTGTCTGGGAAGCCTCGAGACCTTAAATTGTATTTTCGAAGACCCGATCTATCCAGACAAGCCATTTCTACCGACTTGTGCCATTACACCCGCAACTGACGCTAATGAACCTATGGATGTATTCCGCAAGTCCATCGATTGTAACCTCACGCCTGGGCAGCAGAAACAGCTGATCAAGCTCCTACAGCGTTTTCGAGCCTCGTTTGACCACAATCAGCCTTCCTTAGGTCGAGCGTCATCTGTTGTTCACCGTATAGATACCGGTCAAGAGACGCCATTACGGCAGCGTCCATATCGTGTGTCAACTACTGAACGCCGTGCCATCAATGAACAGGTTGACGACATGCTGACACGTGGCATAATAGAACCGTCAAGCAGTCCCTGGGCCTCTCCAGTTGTGTTGGTGAAGAAGAAGGACGGATCCATCAGGTTTTGCGTGGACTACCGGCGTCTCAACCGAATCACGCGCAAGGATGTTTATCCGCTGCCACGCATTGACGATGCCTTGGACTGCCTACAGGGAGCCGAATTTTTCTCTTCTTTAGATCTCCGCTCTGGATACTGGCAGGTACCCATGGCAGAGGCCGATCGCGAAAAAAACTGCTTTCATCACGCCCGACGGGCTTTACGAATTCACAGTCATGCCCTTCGGCCTCTGCAACGCGCCAGCTACTTTCGAGCGGATGATGGACTCTATCCTTCGAGGCCTCAAATGGAACGTTTGCCTTTGTTATTTAGATGATATTGTCGTATTTTCAGCTGATTTTGCAACCCATTTAACCCGCCTCGAGAAAGTCCTCGCGTGTATTTCTGCCGCGGGGCTGCAACTGAATCTGAAGAAGTGCAATTTCGCCGCTCGAAAGCTTACGATCCTTGGCCACGTGGTTTCAAAAGACGGCATTCTTCCTGACCCTGCCAAACTTACAGCAGTTTCAGCGTTTCCCAAACCGACCACCATGAAAGAGCTCCGAAGCTTCATAGGCCTTTGCTCTTACTTCCGGCGCTTCGTCCGCAATTTCGCGACGATCATCGCTCCTTTGACCAAGCTCCTCGCCGGCTCCAGAGACCTTTCAGCCTGGTCTGCCACCTGTGACAAATCTTTCAATGAACTGCGCCGCCTCCTCACGTCGCCGCCTATTCTGCGACACTACGACCCATCGGCACCCACAGAGATCCACACCGACGCTAGTGGTGTCGGGCTAGGCGCTATTCTTGCACAAAAGAAAGACGGCTTCCAAGAGTACGTGGTTGCCTACGCAAGCCGAACTCTTAGCAAGGCCGAAAGCAACTATTCTGTCACTGAAAAGGAATGCCTTGCCATTATTTGGGCGATAGAAAAATTTCGACCTTACGTGTACGGGCGCCCTTTTGACGTCGTGACTGACCACCACGCCCTCTGCTGGTTGTCGTCATTGAAGGATCCGAGCGGTCGCCTCGCCCGATGGGCATTACGCCTCCAAGAATATAATATTCGCGTGGTCTATCGCTCCGGCCGGAAACATTCGGACGCAGACGCCCTATCCCGTTCGCCTCTACCCCCTGACCCGGACTGCTGCGAAAGTCTAACCTGTGATGCCACTGCCGTCACCATCGCCGACATGCCATCTGAGCAACGCAAGGACCCTTGGGTTGCTTCGATTCTAGACATCCTGGCTGGGCGGACGGCTTCCCCCCCTTCTCGCACGTTGCGTCGGCAAGTGGAGCACTTCGCCACTCGCGACGACGTGCTGTACCGACGCAACTACGCACCCGGTGGACGTCAGTGGCTACTCGTGATTCCACGTCATCTGCGATCCGAAATTTGTTCCACGTTTCATGACGACCCCCAATGTGGCCACGCAGGTTTCCTGAAGACTTATTCTCGCATACGTCTCCGATATTACTGGCGTGGCACGTACCGTTTTATACGACAATACGTTCGGGCCTGCTCGACGTGCCAGAGACGAAAAACTCCCCCTTGTCACGCCAGCGGTACCTTGCTACCCTTACCATGCCCATCCCGACCATTCGACCGCGTCGGCATCGATATCTATGGTCCCCTTCCCAACACTGCTGACGGTAACCGCTGGATCATAGTTGCCGTCGACCATCTCACGCGGTATGCCGAAACTTCATCCCTTCCCTCGTCTACAGC